GGTTACTATGGAAACAAGGGTGTCATTGATGTGGGCTGAGCTGGGGAACATGTCGGCGCACAGCTGAAAGTCAGCGATTATGCCGGCGGGTAGAAATGTGCCGGGGCGGAAGAAGTCCGCAGCTCCCGAAACTGCTGGAAGGACGCGGTCCTGCCCCCTCCCTCCCTCCAACTCCACTTCTCTCTCTCCGAGCTTTTGACAAATTTCTTTATTCCCCTCTGGGCTAAAGCGGGCGGCTATTTTTGTGCCACTCGGTGCCCCACCCTCACTGTCGGCCGCTCCTTATCCGGCCTGGCCTGGAGGGTGACACCGTGTCACCCTCGCCAGGACTCGTCCCTTGATTCCCGTCAGAGTTTGCTTTGATTTCTCTTTCCTTCTCAGGGGCCAGTTCTTACTTCCTTTTATTTTTAGCTCTGCACTCCATGTGGTTTCAGGGTTCAGTCTGATCCATCGAAAGGTTCTTTTTTTATAGTCCCTTTTGAAAATGATAATCAAAGGAAGGGACGTGGTATTTGGTCATGTGGAAAATTCAATGTATAATTTAGACGTCTGTCAAAAATCTGACAAATGAAATTTAGCTGAAAGGAAGGCAGCCTGGAATGTGTTGTGTTCTTTGCCAAAGCTCGGAAAGGGCCTCGAATGTGTTTGTCCTTTCAGAGGTTAGCATTCCTCAAGGTGCTTCTTTCAGAAGGGTGAAATACTAACAGCCCACCACCAATAAAAGCAACGCTTTCCGGAGCCCCTCCTACACAGCGTGAGCCTTACATGCCCTAGGGGCAACAGTAGTCCCACTTTTCAGTTGAGAAGACTGAGGTACTGGCCTGGGTTGAGGAGTGGGCTCCACTTCACGGAACCTTCAGTGCAGAAAAGGGCTGGAGCCTGGTTCCCAAAGCTGTGGCCTTCCAAGTCCACACCAGCAGTGCTCCCTGGGTGCTCTCTGTCCTCACCCCAGGGCAACCATAGATTTTGTACCATCTTTGGCACGGGCGGGGAGAAAGAGAAGACACCAAGTATCAGGAAAGGTGTCAGGAACGGCCTGGCGAGAACACTTGCGACTACCTAGTGCCTAAAACTGTGTCTTCCTGTAAGAGAGGGTTCAGAGAGGGAAATAGACTTGCCAAAAGTCACACAGTAGGTGACAGAGCAGGCACCGGTCCAGGGCTCTGCCCCTAGAGCAGAAGAGCGTCTATTTATTCCCCTTGGGCAGCCTCACTTCGGCAGCCTAGCGACTCACCAGAATGGCTAGTCCCGAGGGCCCGCCTTTAAAGGCAAGCTGTTGGCAGCAAAGAGGGGTGCTTGAGGCAGAAGGAGAGAGGTCTAGGGTTGCCAGATACACGACAGGACATTCAGTTTAACTTGAATTTCACATAAACAAAGAAATTGTTTTTAATACAAGTATATCCCGTGTAATATCGGGGACATACTTCTAATACTCAAAAATATTCATTGTTTATCTGAAATTCAAATTTAACTGGCCTTCTCGGTTTTTTGTTTGTGTTGTTTTGCTAAATCTGGCAACTCCATCCAGAACACCCTGCTCAATAAAGAGACAGCGAGGTACAATTAAAAAGTCTGTTCTCTGGAGTCAGAGAGGCCCGGAGTTTAATCCTTGCCCATCATAAATCAGCTCTGTGATCTTGGGCAAGTTACTCTCTTGGAGTCTTGCCTCTTCATCTATGAAATGGGACTAAAATGGTAGGGATGTTTAAAAAAGATATAATGTAAATAAAGTACCTAGACCTGGGGCAACAGCTAGCACAAAGCAGGGACGCTCTGTGCCTCTGTTTCTTATCTGTAAAATGAGGTAACATCATCTAGTTCTCCAGACGACTGGACGAAGCTATGCGTGTCCAGTGTATAGCAGGTGCTAAATCATTGGCAGCTATTATAATAACTGGCAGAAATTCTGGAGTCCAGACCTTCCCAGGCCCCCAAGACCTCTGCCGCCCCACCTCCCCTCCCATGTTGTTCCGGAACTCTCAAGGCGACAAGCAAGAGGCCAACAGTCTCCTGAAGGTGCCGGCAGCCCCCTCCTCTCCAGGGCTCCCAGGGCCACCCCAGCCACACGTCTTGCGATTAGATTTGTAAGTGGGAACAGGCTCTTGTCAGAGGCTCCTGATTGGCTCCAGGCAAAAACACAGTTTAGCGCTCAGTCAAGCTGCATTTTAGGGCCTCTGTCTCTCTCTCCCCCCTCTCCCCTCTTAATCGCAATCTGTTCAGTAATTTCCTTTTCC